AGAGCCTATTTAATAAAAAAAGAATTATTAAAATCGGTTAACAATCTGCGGAGATATCGCACTATACATACAAAAAAACATACACTTGGATTGAGAACCTCCTCTTTTTTGAAGTTGATTAAAAAATTAAAGTACTTTTAAATAAACCTTTATTTGCAAACTGAATGTTGGAAATAAACTATATGTTTAATTAAGTTTAACAGACACGCACATCGGTAATGCGGGGTCTTGTAACTACTCTCACTCCCCGGTCAATGCAGATGTAATAAAACCACATGCAATTTGCAAATAAACATCTATTTAAATTTAATTTTTATAAGGTCGTGTTTTCTGAAATAAGGTTATTTGCTTAAGTTTGAATACTGAGTCTGATACATGAAGTTATAGATAAAGATGGAGGCCACACTTGGAACAACAGCTTGAGTCAAATACCTACGTATCTTTATCTCACTCTCTGTGGTCTGACTTCTCTTTTTAGTGTGGAATACAGTATTGCTATGTTTTTATTTAAATCTCTTGGTAAATTCTTAGAAATAGTTTCCACACTAACCAAATCAGAAGTTAAGCTCTATAAAATAATGTACCAATAAATAAATAGTTGAACTACGATTAGTTACACTAAAAATTCCAAAATGGAAGGTCTCGTATGCATTTTTGGGTTAACGAATCAGTGAATTACAATCCCATTTCCTAAGGGTCCAGTAATGTGGCAATATTAGCCCTATATGTCAACATAAATTAGATAAATATGGCGGTTGTTTACTTAGCAGTTCACAGCGTAGTTTGAGATATTTAAAGTTAATTATTGTTATAATTCAAGAAATGGTGCAAACTTGTGTAGTGCGTGGTTGCGTCAGTAGTTGGTGTCCAGGAGGTGATATAAGATTTCATGCGTAAGTGTTTAAATAGTGACTTCTGGCATTGAATACTTGTAAACATACTTCTTTGTATTTTCACTTAATTTTTTGCTGAAACGTTTTACCAGTGTTTTAAACATATTAGTAAATCATAACTTTATCAAAATCAAATAGCTTTATTTTATTGAATTTAACGCATTGAATTTAATTGACTTTGAACAATTTTATTGTTTTTGTTTAAAAGAAATCGCACTGAAGTAGTGTGATCATATTAAAGATGTATCTGAGACTTCCTGTGTCCTTAACTAATTATATGTACATGTTTCTTTTCCCGGAAATGTATGAAATTTAGGAATTCTATAGAATTCCTATGTATTCTATATAATGACGGATTTCATAGATTTCATAATATTAAATTATTAATTAGTAACATAATAACATATTCTTTTTATTTAGTTTTTTTAGGCAGACAATTTACTTTTTATTTAGTCTTTGTTTCTCATTATTCTGATACTTTAGTAACGTTTACAATTACGAATATTTTTTTTAGATTTCCTAAAAACAGCACTAGGAGAAATTTTGTGGTTATCCATTGTACAATTGAAAATGAAGTATTATGAAAGTGCAAGGATTTGCAATTTGTATTTTCAAGAATCAGATTATGATTCAACAACAAGGCGCTTAAAACCAACAGCAGTTCCTACTGTTATAATACATCAAGAAACAGTATCACCAGGCAAGGTTAAAAAATTAATATAATTTAATTATCTAACTTTTCGTAATATATATTTAGAAATGTAGTAGTTTAAATGTATGATATAAATCAACATTTTGTAAAATATGTTATCATTTGCAGACAACAAGTGCATTACTTGAAGAGTCTATTGTGCAAATAGCTGCTCTGGCTGTACCAAGCACTAGTTCTGACATTTATGAAAGTAGTTCTGCACTTGAGGAAACAGCAGTGAAACGTACTGCCTGTAATATTGAAGACCAAACTAGTAAAAAACAATGTAACCTGTAAGTTTCCTTTTCCTTTATTACTTAATACATACCTTTTTATTTGTATTTATTATGACTTTAATATTACATTACATAATATATTGTATAGCTTAAAACACATACATATTTAAACTCTTTAGATTTTAAAAACAAAAAAATGAATGTTAGGCTTGCTGCGCAAGTACTTAGTTCATCTGTTGCTGATGCAATAGATTTTTTGAGGATTAGTGGTCATCCTGACTTTCTACACAGCGAAGCGACTACAGAGTTCTTGCACGTGATAGACTTTTTAATCTCATGAATTCAAAGTAACCATTTGGAAAGGGTTCAAAGTCTCCATTATCGTTAAAAAACAAACCTTATTGGGAACCAATATTTAATGATATTGGAATGTTTTTAAAATCGTTAACAATAAATTGAAAATGTTTTTATTAGGGTTTTTAATGAACATAAATAGTTTATCGTTACTTGTTAATGATTTGTGTACACTAGAGCAAAATCCAATTAAATATTTGTTGACTTTTAAATGTTCGCAGGACAACTTGGAACTTTTTTTCCTGCATTAGGGCTCGCGGTCGGGCACAAGACAACCCGAGCCCTCTCGAGTTCCGCTACATAATTAGAAAGATGTTGTTCAGACATTCCATTCAACCATCCGTCAATGCTAACTGCATAGAAAATGGCTTTGAGACAACACACGTCTTCAATTTCAATAAACAGAAAAGTTTGTTTCATTCTCGCGAAGAACCTGAATATCAACAAGACGTTGAAAATATGTTTCAAAATTTAGAAAAGATTCATGCTGGTCCATACCAGGAAAATATATTATATTATATAACTGGTTACATTATAGAACAAATTCTTACCCGCATTTCTTGTGAACATTGTAATAATGCGTTAGTAGCACTTAACTATGTGTTAACAGATCATTCATATCACATGATTGTAAATAAATTTAATTCATTTACGACGTTTGTGAACCGAGGCAAACTTTATTTTCCTTCGGTAGCAACTTACAAAATTGTAAAATATTGTGACCAAGTTTTCCAACGAGCTAATTTGATGGGCCAACTTAGAGCCAATAACATTGAAAACAAATTAATTAATGTCGTGTCACAACATTTTACTCCTCTGTTGCAGGAAATGTTTAACCACCCGATCACGGACTCAATTAATTGTAATGATTTGCATGAAACTATGATAGTTAAGAAAATAGCTAATTCATTTTTTAATATGCGTATACGTGCTCACTTAAAGAGTCATACAGAAAATATACTTAGTGATTTACGTGGCAAGAGACAGAAAGTACACAAAGCAATGATATTTAGTCATGTAGAATAGACAATTGTCAATAAATGATTTTAATATGGAAAATGGTTTTATTTATTTTTTTGAGGTTTTTTATATATTACCGTTCCTATTATAGTACATATTAGTTACCAAATATCTATGAAATCCGTCATTATATAGAATTCCTAGGAATTGTAGATAATTCTTAAAATGAACAGGATGTGTGGAATATAGTATTATAACACATTTCAGCTCAGAGCAGCCTGACTCTGATGGGTAAGGTCAGAAGTCTAAGGCAGGAGCTCCGCTAAGCTCTTTTAGTCTTCGTGATATTTTTTTTAAAATAATTGTCTAAAAATAGATTTATTCAGTCTGAACAATAAATCAGGTATATTTTTCCCCAATTCATGGAACACCTGGGGTGTTATAATAAATTTTAATTTTATATTTCGTTGGTACCGTTTAGGATTGGATACAATAACTAGAAAATACATTATCGAAATGGTAGTTATAAAATATTCCCTGATATATTTATTTTCCACATTTTCTAAATAGGCTCGGAATTATATGGGTTGTAACGGAAATGCGTGGTCATATTTTAAATACCTACCGGTTCTGTCCATGGAAATGAAAACCTTTCTTCATAAAACCAGTCAATTCCCAAAAATTGTACAAAAATATATTATCTATATAGGCTAGATCTTAGTAGTAAACAGAGATGTAGATATTTAAAATAAACCACTTAATGTAATGCAACTACTTATAGCGATATCCTGGTAAAAATAAAATAAACGTTACCTACTTAGAAAGAGAGGGTCTGCCCACAGAGAGCGAGATAGTAATACATAGGTTAAGCCTC